GGATGGTCCACGCCCCTGACCTTCGTCAGGTTCTATGACCTAGACATGCGAGCCAATCCTGGCTCTTCTGTTCTCTCGCCCTAGCTGTGCAGTCTTCCACACTAGGCAGAGACTTAGAAGTTTGGCGGCGTGGTCGCGTTCCCCTAGCGTTTCCGACGCAGCTCGAGTTCCTGAAGAGGAACGTCTCAGGTTACGTATGTAACCCTAGTTCTTCGAGGGAACGAGACGCTGCGTCGCGGTGCCATACTTCCGGCGTCCCTGCCAGCGCTTGCTTCATTCCTAGAAGCTGACGCTGGTCTCACCGCACGTGCTTTTATAGCTTCCTGGTCATTACGTCACCCGCCGTGACGTCTCGCCCATCTATTGGTCTGATTACACACGAGGTTCAGAGCCCGTCACGCTGAAGGGCGTTCCCCTAGCGTTTCCGACGCAGCGTCTCGTTCCCTCGAGGAACTAGGGTTACATACGTAACCTGAGACGATATATGGGATAAATAGCGATTAATAATAAAAAAAAGAACTTGCATTTCATGGCAAATTTTAATTAGTTGACAGCACTAATAAACACAATATATCACAGAAACTGATATATTACAACTCATTATAGTTTTCGGTAAATTAAAAATTAGTTAGTACATATATACATAAAACATTAAAACAGACATTTACCCCATATAAAATATTGACTAATAAAATCTAAAATATTTAAAACATCAGTTATTTTATACTGTTGAAATACAAAATAAATACAAAAAACTTCTAAAATTCTCTGTCATCTTGTGTTATATTAGATTAGGAGCCTCTTTTGTTTTGATCAAAAATGTAGCAAAGTCTTTGGCACTATCGAATATATGGCGCCCTGATTTCGTGGTTGAATATGAGCACATGGAAAACGCTGATGTAAAATCCGTCCTTTGAAAGTGCCCACAACGCATCTCAACTCAGTGATTACAGTAACCATGAAACTGGAGCATAATCACTTCACATTTGTATGTAAACACTGACACAAGCAAAGAAATCGAGCGAGAGGAAACGTGAGTGACAATGACAAAATCAAAACGAAAAGAGGGATGAAAACGAGAGACGAGAGACAGAGTGATACGTGAACAGAGAGGTGAAAGGGAGGGAAATAAATACAAGAGAAAGAGAATGTCAACACACTCTCACACCCCCTGTCACGAAAGGTTTTTCTACAAATGAGCAAGATCATCACAAGAAGTGCGTGAGATTGAGCTGTGACTGGGTGCGTGGGTAAGCACCACAGTATCAAACCATCAAAGCCATCTGTGTGTGTGAGGGCATATGGGGGAATGGGGAAAAAGATTTTCGAGTGGTTTTTATTGTGGTTAGGGAAGGTCCCAAGTGCCAAGAAAAGCACTATAATACCACTTTAAAACGGAGTACACAGGTAACCGCTCAGAGCGTACTAATAAGAACGGTGACAAAGTGCAGACGGAAAGATTATATTTAGATTATAAAATATATAAAAAAGCCATACTAACTGGGATAAATGCCATTTTAAGAAGAGGAGAAACCAGGTTTGTGTAGTAACTTGGAATCATGGGAATCTTTTGACTGAAAACAGTGTGGGTTGCGAACATTATGGATTTTTTTTCTGATCACAGATTGTGATGCAAGTGCTAAGATTGTGACAGATAGTACACTAGTGCATGCCATGTATGTGTGTGTGTTTCTATGTGACAGCCTCACCTCGTTTTTGAGTTCAGCGATCTGCTCTCTCAGTTGAGTTATATACTGTCTGGAGTCTGAGTGATTCAGCTGGCCTTGGATCAATCCTTCCTCTTTCTGCAGGCAACACATACATACTCTTAAAGGGGTCATATGATGCTTTTTTAAAGATCATTATTTTGTGTATTTGGTGAAACAGAATATGTTGACCTGCTTTGATGTTCAAAAAACACATTATTTTTCAAATACTGTACATTATTGTAGGTCCTCTATGCCCCGCCTCTCTCAAACGCTTCGTTTTCTACAAAGTCCCTCCTTTGACAAGCGCATTCTGCTCTGATTGGCCAGCTGACCCAGTGCATTGTGATTGGCCGAACACCGCAAGCCTTTCCACACTGAGCGCGATGCGAAAAAGCAAGGCACATCGCCGACGAACGGTGCTTTCACACCGAACACGAAACGATTGTTCGCCTTCTGCTAATTCACACCTGCACGCTAGGTGGCACCAACCAACAATGCATTTTTTCTCAGATATGTATCTCGTAAATGGATTTAACATCATCCGCTGCTCAATATACAGCATTAAATTAATATAAACAAGGTTCTTCACTAGAAACAAACTATCTATAATGCTTACAAGAATAGGCTATATCCTAAAATATCATTAGAAGTACAATTAGCATCAAGCTACACTTGAAAATGTTTTTTATTATTAATGTATTTGCTTACCTACTTTAAACCATCATCGAGTGCTTGTAATAACTTCCGATTGTGATCATAGTTGATTTTGATTAATAAGCAGACACACGCACTCTTTGTATGTTTAATAACTCTACACTGCTAATATTTGTCATAAACATCCTTTATTGCTATAAAAATACCATGAGCTGCATACAAAACACATACAGAAAATATATCGTCATAATCATGTCTATTTGCTTTCATATTTCATGTGTAGAAAAAGAGTGAACGCTCTCTGACTCATAACATTCACGCACGTGGAAGAAAACGGACGGTGCTCTACAGATCACATGATTCAGTGGACAATTAGTAGAAATGTTATTCTGTATAAAGAATATGTGAGAATAAATCTGTTCATACCAACGATAACAAGAACTCCGCATCCACTCTCTTATCCGGGATACTCTTCTTCTCCATTTGTTTTCAATGGTTTTCAGCTGCTCCGGTCACGTGATCCTAGCTCAAATCTTATTGGATGGCCCGTGTTTTCGCTTTGCGAAACTGAAAAGATTCGTCGGACTGGGGCGAAAAAAAAACATTAGCATTTTCGATGCGCGAATGTTCGCGGTCTATGTGGAAGCATCCATAGAAATCTATTGTTTTATTCCAGCGCGTCATCGCGTCCGATATTCGTTTTGCTTTTTCGTGCTAATATAATAGGGTAATATAACAATACAATGCTAATATAATGGTTGACAGAACTTTTATGAACTTGGTGAATAGATATGGATGATATTTCTCACCTGTATTTCTAGCTCGGCTATCTTTTGTCGGAGTTCAGCCATAGCGGCCATGCAGTCAGCTTCTCTTAGACGGACCGCCATCACCTCTTCTTTGCTCTGAAAGAAAGACCGCAAAATTACAAAAAAATTCTAAATTCTAATTCATGCATTAATCTATAAATGCTAATTCAGCTGAAGTCTTATTATGTCTATTTACTAGTGACGCACTGATATTAAAATCCTGGCTAATACTGGTAATAATTATTTCATGTCTAATGTCTGATAAAAGATAAATAACAGAAAATGTATACTGTTTTGTCTAAATAATAAAAAATAAAGCTATAAAAACTAAGATAAATTATTTTAAAAGCTACAAATGAATTTATCACAGCAATATAAAGTACAGTATGAAAAAAGGGATGTTTATTTTTTAATGGATAGGATTTTCTTATTAATTTATAAGTGTGTTTTTAGAGATTAAAGACTACACTGAAAAAAATATTTGTGAAAGTTTATTTTGAAGTAGAGAAAATGAAATCGTATTTTTTTACAGTGTTAAGTGTGGTAAGCAAAGCTAAACTAAATGTAAAAATAGAGGAAATGAGCATTTAATTAATTAAAAATAGAGGAAATGAGTACAATTAAATATTCAATATCAACCAATGACGATGAAAAACTGTCTCATGCTAGCCAATAAATAATATGGTATTGATATGACACATCCCATTTACTGTTTATCTCACTGAATATTCAGTTATCTGTTCTTCCTGTACTGTGTGGCTGTGAATGCACTGCACCTTGCAGTCAGACTCCGCCATCTTTCTCTTCATTTCGTTGAGCTGGCTTTGTAGTGTTTTGTTGTGAGAAAGAGCATTCTGCAGTCTCTCCTGCAGGCTGGCACTCTCTTGCTCATGTCTGACAACTAGTTTACAGTTGATCTGGTTCTTTGGAAAAAGAGAGAAAAGTTTGAGAAGTTTAAATGTGTATGTTTGGTTGTAAAACTTTATCCTACATTCTGAAAAATACAACAAGGGCATCATGATTTTTGCATTAAAATACGAGTTTTATGTACAAATAAACATGCATGCATGATTAGTTAGAGTGCACACTAATTTGTTACAAGAGAACTGTGGCTTCATTGCTATATTGTTATTTATTTTAATTTGAGTTAAATTATGTCTGAATTTATTATGTCTGTATAGGTCTTTCATTACGTTTTTAGTTTTATTTAATTTGAGTTATTTTAATACTTCAACAAACTAAATGGAAATGAAATAATATATATATTGAATTTATAAATGTGTGTATGGTTGTACATACACATATGTAGTTGTTTTTTTGGTGTTTGGCTTACTGTTATGTTAGAATCATTATTATACTCATACCTTTTGTTCTTTAATATTTTGAATTGTTTTTAGCTTTATTTTTTGTTTTATTTTTTGTTAAGTTTTGAAATGTTGTTGTATGCATTTGTCATTTTTATTTAATCTCTTTATTTTTAAAATGTGTATTGGTAGTATTTATAAAGTTTTAGCTTTTAGTTTTGGATCTGTTTTTAGTTGTTTTAATACTACAATTGATTGCTTCTGTTGTCCTCATTTGTAAGTCGCTTTGGATAAAAGCGTCTGATAAATGACTAAATAAATAAAAAAAAATAAAAAAATATTGTTATATGCTATGTGTATTGCTACATTCTGAATTCCATATACAGGCCAGGGTTAATCCTGTTAACTAAAACAAAAAATAAATAAATTACTCAACATAAAATAAGATTGAAATAAACATTTTTAAAAACCCTTAAAGGGATAGTTCATCCAAAAATGAAAATTCTGTCATTAAGTACTCACCCTCATGTTGTTCCAAACCGTAAGAACTTTGTTCATCTTCGGAACACAAATTTAGATATTTTTGATGAAATCCGAGAGCTCTCTGACCTTCCAATAGACAGCAATGTAATTAACACGATCAACGTCCAGAAACGTAGCAAGGACATCTGTAAAATAGTCCATGTGACATCAGGGGTTCAACCATGATTTTATGAAGCTACGAGAATACTTCTGTCAGGACCACTATCGTCAAAATGATAGATACTTAGCATAAAGTTTGGTTTGGCGGTATGGTTCTGTTCTGGGCAAAAAACCTCCCTGCCCATCCATGATACTGAATACAGCTTATATAGGAATTCGTAAGAAGAGCAGCAAGCCCCTTACCTGAGGAGACTAGCAGCGAAGGGGTGCTCTTTATAAGCAGCTAAGAAGAGCGTAATGTCGTATTCCTATAGGTAGATGTGATCAGCTGAGAATCAGCTGATGCAAGCTTGACTCACGTGACCTGCCAGAACTAACGCTAAAGCTTAATTTTTTGTGCGCAAAGAAAATAATAATAACAATTTATTCAGCAATTATTTTCTCTGAGTTACCATCCTCCTCCATTTTGGAGAGTACCCCAGAACGTAATCAACGTAATCAGTGTTGTTTACATTCAGCATGCGTGCGCTGTCTAATGAACGTAAACAACACTGATTACGTTGATTACGTTCTAGAGTACTCTCCAAAATGGAGGAAGATGGTAACTCAGAGAAAAGAACGGCTGAATAAATTATGTTATTATTATTATTCTCGTAGCTTCGTAAAATTACGGTTGAACCCCTGATGTCACATGGATTATTTTAACGATGTCCTTGCCACGTTTCTGTGCATTGATCGTGGTAATATCCTTGCTGTCTATGGGAGGGTCAGAGAGCTCTCAAGATTTCATATTTATTCAGCAATTATTTTCTCTGAGTTACCATCCTCCTCCATTTTGGAGAGTACCCCAGAACGTAATCAACGTAATCAGTGTTGTTTACGTTCATTAGACAACATTATTATTATTCTCGTAGCTTCGTAAAATTACGGTTGAACCCCTGATGTCACATGGATTATTTTAACGATGTCCTTGCCACGTTTCTGTGCATTGATCGTGGTAATATCCTTGCTGTCTATGGGAGGGTCAGAGAGCTCTCAAGATTTCATCAAAAATATCTTAAATTGTGTTCCGAAGATGAACGGAGGTCTTACGGGTTTGGAACGACATGAGGGTGAGTAATTAATGACAGAATTTTCATTTTTGGGTGAACTAACCCTTTAAACTTATTTTTCCACTAGTTAGCAAGTCAACATTTCTCAATTTGGTTTAAATCGAATTACTAAAATAACCAAAACTAAAATGAATAAATAAAACTGACATTGTAGTTCTAACCTGGCTTTCAAGCTGCAGGTTTTTAAGTTTGACCTCTTTGAGTTCAGCTTGACCCTGAGCCTCTCGCAGTCTCAAACTCATCAGTTTGTCCTGTAGCTCATTCATCGCATTCTTTTTAGGAGATTCTTTCCAGTGGCCTCCTCCTCCTCCACGAGACGTATGATGCTGTGATAGAAAATAAGATTTGATGTGGACCAGTAGAGGGTCCAACAAAGCATCTTGCCACAGAAAGGTATTTTATCGATCCATTTTTGCCTTCCAGAAATTCATACTTTTTTATGAATGCCAAAACAATTGAGTTAGGTAGGGTTGTACAGAGATTCTGCACCTGCCAGCAGTGGTTGAGATCAGTAACGGCCTCTTGCATCTCTCTGAAGGAGCGCAGAGTCTCCTGCTCTCTCAGTTTCACAAGCTTCAGCTCCTCCTGCAGCTGAGCTACATTGATTTCATCAGGCAGAGAGCTGTTCCTCTGTAACACACATACAATATTCCATTATGCACTACACTTCAGGATCATACAGTAAAAGCTTTGATAGAAAATAGTTTTCTATAATTAAAAATAAACAGTTTCACTTATCATTTGTATGTGCTCAAGCCGTATCATCACCACTGAGGCAAAAATGTAATTTCATACTTGAACATTTCTATTGAAGAGTCAAAGACGCACATGCACACACCTTTTCCAGATCGAGCACTTTGTCCTGCATTTCTTTCAGAGCACCGAGTAGTTCTGCCTCCTGTAAACGAGACCGTTCCAACTGAGTCTGCAGCCCACTCACAAACTCCTCTGTATACTGCAGACAGAGAGACAAAATGGATTGAAACACTGATGACTGCAGAGTAGGCTATAATGGCTGCCATTACATCACATTCACTCATTGCTAAACATAGTGTAACAGATATAAGGATTCTGCACAAACACACACAGGTTTCCATGTTGTTTATGTGGGCATTCCATTGGCGTAATGGTTTTTATACTGTACAAACTGTAATTTCAAGTCCCTTACCCTAACCCTACCCCTCTCACAAAACTTTCTGCTATTTTAGATTTTTAAAAAGCTTCACTTTGTATGATTTATAAGCTTGTTTCCTCATGGGGACAAAAAAAAAAAGTCCCCACAAGGTCAAAAATACTAGTATTACTATCCTTATGGGGACATTCCCCATAATGTAGGTAATACCAGGTACACACACACACACACACACACACACACACAAAATAAAGCTAAATTCTACAAAAAAGGCATTTCTTCACAGAATGCAGCAGTTTCTTGAACTAATAAAAATGTATACACAGTTTTTCAACAGATTTTTAACAATACACCTTTTATAACAGCTCTAATATGAGCTCCAACAACACAGAAAAGAGATCATCCTTTGGAGAAATCCTGAAAACCAATCTATTAATCAGAAGTTTTCTTTTGCCAACAAGAGCCAGGATCAGGATCAAGTCTTCCTACACTCTCAAACTCCTTATTTATTTGTCTATTTTAATATTTTGCTATACATTTAAGTAAAATGCATTTTATACTTAAAATCAATGACTATAAGTCAATAGTTTCATATTGTACAGGCTTCAATTGCAACATGGGAGGTTTAATGGGTTTAATAAAGTGTACTTCATTATCTTATAAAAGAGAGTAAGTATAGCTACAGTCTTATAACCTTTTGTAATGTGCATTTCACAGACGATTTGGTTAATTTATGGATTATATACCTCTTAAATGAAGTATTTAAGTCCTTATGGAGAAAATGGGACAAATTATTCTGAATCCAATGATGCTGGAGTAGTATGTGGTCCCTAATGTGATCTATTCTATATTTTGTGCTAATGTTGCTTGGTAACCATTAAGAGTCTATAGTTAGACTGATGAAATATATTACTTGGTGGAAGAATTTCTTATGATTTGAACATTGGTGTTACATTATTAATATCACTGTTTGCCACCATTCAGTTAAAGGTATAAGCCAGCCAAGGTGTTAGTGTCTAAAAACAGCCCTTAATATTACTGTAACACAGTAGGCCTCTAGACCCTTACGTCATAAAATAACAATTTCAGCCTCTTTCGCATTTCCAAAGATTTTTAAGATTATGTATGAAAAACAACAGTCATTTTGTAAGTGTCTACTCACAGCAACAGATGTGCATCTGGAAATTTATTTAGTTAATTTTAGCATGATCTATTACTGAAGCAGCAGTGTTGATGTGACTGTGCTTCTGCTGTGTTCTGTGTGCATATACTGTGGCCTACCAGAGGGGGCTGTGGCCTGCCCTGGAGACTTGTGTGAACACTAGTTCCCACGGACTTTTTACTTCTGTTTTTCTTACCTCCCTCCATGCTTTCCAGTCACTTCATCATACCCGTATTACTCAGATGTTTCAATCACAGAGACTCTCGCTCATTCTACCTCTGTGTACTTGAAAAGTCTTAACAGAAGGACTGGACTTTTAGCTAAAAACCAAACGCTTTCCTTTCCAGTTAGCAAAGCACAACAGAAATGAACCTTTCACAAGAGAAAACAAGCACTGCCAGAGATCCAGACTCTACTTTTGACATTTTACTAAACGATAACAATTGTAAATTAAAATTAAATCGTATAGGTCAGTATGCATATATCTGTGTATGCTAATAGAGGATGTGAAATGTAGACCACAAATAACATTTCAAATCAACCACAGCGAGCCCCTTTGCTCTGGGTAACGAAACCAGATTCAGCAGATTTAGGTCGAATAAGCAGCATAAACACTCCCTGTCGGATCTAAACTGGAGTGTTTTTTTTTTATTTTACAGAAAAAAAACAAGAATAAATGTAGAACTTTGTAAAACAATTCAATAACTGGTATAAAAGAAGTGACGTGTGAGTATTTCAATGACGAGCACATGCAGATTTTTGTGAAAGATAACTGAATGCTGCATTTTTGCATCTGAAACGTGTGCGCTTTTTGAGTGTGTGTGCACAGAAAACAGCACAAGTACCAAACTCTTTTGCCTCTTCTTGCACTTAAATGGTTTAAAATGAATTAAACTTGAATGCTTAAATTGGCAAGACTTAGAAACACATGCATCAGTTCACGATGGTTAAACTAATTCATGAATCACATGCATGCTGAACCGCGGGGCCTGGTCAGTACAGATCACAGATCAACTACGAGCCGTTGAACCCCTAGCTACAAGTAACACAAATATGGAATATAAGAAAAAACTGCTTACAAAAAGCTTAGCTGTTAGCTGCACATGGTACACTAATTCTGTTGACATCAGCACTGCTACGGTGGTCAATTCTGAGTTTAACACAGGAAAATGCATATGACCAGAGAGTGTTGCTCTGAGTGTCAGTGGTCGAACGCTCACGGGGTCACAGCTCACACTCAACATGACACACACCACACCCTGACATCTTCTCACACATGCCATTGACATCAAAACCAAAAAACCCCATTTGCTAGATATCGATGCTTTGACATCCATTCTTTTAACCTGTAAGGATGATGAAAGAATTTAAATTATAATGATGGGTTCAAACAGTCAACTTGGTACCAACAGTCATTTTCATAAATCTTACCAGAAAATAATCACTGACCTGTCAGTGACCCAGTTTAGGGTAATTCTGCCGTGTGAAAGCAGATCTTTTGACTAAGCACAGCCTGCAGACATGTGTACAGCAAACATAAAGATGGTTCAAAAAATAAAAACATGTTTATATGACATGTGACTTTGCTCAGTTTTCTGGTAAACTGCATCTCACATTGCAACTTTATAAGAGAGAATTTTTCCTCATAATCAACTGCTTAATTTTCAGTTAAATAATAATTTATTAGGAGGTACCCTTAAAAGGATGAAGTCGAGCTATAGTTGATTTTCAGCTAGAAATAAACTTTTTTGTTGTTTTTGGTCAAGGGATGCGATTGTTGTGTCTGTTTCACACAGCACACATAAGCAGTGATAAAGCATAACCGGGAGAACAGGCCAACTTTGCAGTGCTTTCACGCTGACAGTGTTTCAGAGCTTACTGGGTTACTACCTTGATTATTTCACTAAATAACAGCCATAAATTCTAAAATGGTTAATGTGAACTTAGGTAAACTGCCCAAATCATCTATATTCAATCAGACTTGCTGAACAGAAAGTGCTCTTTGTGTGTCTGTTGGGGTTTGTGCCACATGTTCCACAAGCAGTGGCAGACATCTTTTTCAAACGATGGGTGAGCAGTTAATGTAGTTCCATAAAAGGCTATATTATATATTAGCATTTTAGCAATATTTTCTGCTGAGGTCAGCTGAGTGCAGCAAAAATAGTCTCAGCACTGAAACCCAACTTCTAGCTATGCATCTGCTGTTACCTTGTGTTGCTGAAGTTCACGTATGGTGTCCTGCGCCTTCTCCAGACTCTCACTGGCTGTGTTACACTGCTGCCGAACCACAGCCAGTTCACGCTTAATAACATAGTTCTCCTCTGCCTCCTGGGCTCGTGTAACCTGACCCTGAGTGAAGAGAAATAGCGTACGTTTCTTCTTGGGAGATTTGTCTTTTAACTTGCGGTTAAGGGGAGATAAGTATGACATTCCAATCAAAGTGATGAGACGGGCTACATGCAATGATAAATCTGCTTCATAAAACCAAAGAAGAAATCTGATCAATTCAAGAATCAAAAGAATCCCACTGAAGTTTGGAATTTGATGAATTACATGATAAAATCTGAAAATGCCACCGGACCTAATACGGAACCCTGATGCACACCTATGCTTCCACATCCCACATGCAAGGCTAAACTGCCGGCAGAGAGTGTCAGGGTTAACTTTCATTTGGAGTACCTCTTAGACATTGTTACAGCCATACAGACAAATGAGCTGTCAAGGCAGTGATGAGAAACACAGAAAAACAAATAACCACTTTTCATGCAACAGGCCCATTCTCAGAATTTCGTGGAGGAGGCAGCGCAGGGGCAGGAAAAAGAGTGGATTATAGGAGGAATCAAGGAAGGTCAAAGAGAAGAAGCATATGATTGAGTAATGGGAGGAGGAAAGGCAGGAGGGATTAGTGAGCAGATGGCTTGACAGTACTGTACCTGAATCAACCTGTCTGCTAATGCAGCACTCTCCTACAACACCGCAAGAAAAGGAAGAATAAAGGAAAGAAAGGGACAGAGAGAAGAAAGACAAGGTTGAAAATATGGACAGAAAGAACAGGGGAAAAGAAAGGAAACAATGGATGAGCAAAAAGGTGTGGAAGACCACAGACACACGTGAAGAGAAGAAAAAGGGAACATTTTTAAAAGTTGGGTAGGAAAAAAATCAAGTGGTGATTAAAAAAGTATAAAACATATAAAAGTACAGAATGAGAGTGTGTTTGTGGTGAAAATTGTGGGGAAGTAATTTCAACAGAGGAAGGCAGATAAAAACAAAAGAGATGAGACTTCAAAAAAATTATAGGCAATATAGCTGAGCCTCTGAAAATTTACATGCTCAAAATTTGCATGACTCATATAATAAAGATATTTACACTGTTTACTCAAACACAAACTAATCAAGGTTTTCTATTTTAGGTTCATGCATATTGGTTTGAAGAAACCATCTCACTTTTTCCAGTGTCTCAATCCTCTGCTTCAGTAGTCTATTTTCTGTACGTAGTCTCTGTTAAAATGAAAGGGCAAGAAATATTTCACATTTATTTTTATTTAAAAAGCAAATGATTTAAAACAGAAAAGAAATTGAATATAAAGAAAATTATGTTTTTCATCTAATTTTTATATTAATTTATTTAAGCTTTATTTTAATTACCAAAAACGTTGAATACTTTAATATCTAAATGATGGAGAAAGACCTTTTATATGGAATATTTATTTATAAATCAAACCCAAATGGGGCATTTAATGACAGCAAAGGTACATACATATTTTTTATAGTAAAATGTTATCCTTAATGAAGCTCAAGAGAAATATCATTGGATAAAGCCATTTGGGTGCGTACAAACAAAATTTACATGTTAGTCACCAAACTATCTAAACCAAGTTTAGGTTTTAAGCAACATATGTGCCATTATATCTAAACACACATATACAGACCTTAATTTCAATCTGTTCCTCCATCTCTTTGTTCTTGATAGTGGTATATTCCTTTTCTAACCTGTGGATGAAAAGACAACAACTGAATTTAGAGAAGCACTAAACTTTCTTTTATTTATTGTGAATCTCCCTTTACTTTTTACTCACATATCACTAAATTTTCAGATCACTCACTTTTTCATTCTTTTGGGATTGTATTTGACTTGATAAGCCCGTAGGATCAGCTTATCCGGGCAGCTATCAAACTGATGCGGAATCACCTTCTGAAAGTGCTGTGGTGAAATTGTTAAACAAACATCAAGTGTTGCTGTTGTTTATATTGTTGCATGTATAACATATTGATGTACACAGCAGAGATGATTTTCCTCTAACCTGTGACATTCCCTCCATGTCTAGCTGTATGAGGTCTGTCTGGTTGTACTGCAATATCGCTATTCCAACTCGGAATATGATCTCCAAACCCTGAGAACACAACACACCGTATTCATACAATCACAGACTAACAACTACAACAAATGCTCACACCCTAGTATATTCATTTCTCTAATAAGTTCTTACAACCCCTAGATGCATTCACACCTTTGAGAAAAACTGAAAACCTGCATGCAACACATACAGTACACACAATTCTGCACTTGATAGTGCTTATATATTATGGTGGGGACTTTCCACTGACTTTACTCTTGCCATAATATCGACTTTAACCTTTCACTTTAGCCGCACACAAACCTTAATATTTTATTTTATTTTCATTATAGTACACTAAAATGTGTTCTTTGCACATTTAGGTTGATTAGGTCATAGTGCAACTATAAAAACAACCATTTGTCCTTTTGAGTTTTTCAGATGTTGCTGGGAACATTTGGGAACATTTGGTCCAAAGTATACAGTCAAGTCAGCAACACGCAAATACATACAAAATCTCTTGTATCCATACCTCATACATAAAGATGTCAAAGATACGTGTAGCTATTGGCAGGGGCAGGAAGGTGAGGAAGAGTGTAAGAAACCAGGACGAGGCATACATAGACGTATGGAAACTCTGAGAGCGGAAATGAACGTTCAGCTCCGGCAACTGCTCCTGATCACAGAGATAAAAACATGACACTAGCCAAAAAAAAAAAAAACCTATACTGTGAAAGACATTAGATAAAAATGCTTCTGAGAAGAAGCAAATGGATTGCCTATTGACTGTGTCTCAGCACTTTAAATCTGTTGCCTCCTTGTGGACAAACAAGGTATTACTCCAGGCATCTTGGCATGCAGTATGAAATATATACAAGAAACCATCTGTGTCTAATCATTGTTAAATTCACAACAATAAAAAAAATCACGTGTGCCTCTTAAGTCATATTTTGGCCCACATATCAGTGACAGTAAAGATATTTATAATGTTACAAAAAAAAAAGCGTACAAATTAATGCTCTTCTTACAAATTGATCACTGTTTATACAAAAATATTAAGCAGCACAACTGTTTTCAACATGTTCAACATATTAAATTAGTAAACACTTACTTTAAATTGTAATAATATTTCACAATATTACTGTTTTTTGATCAAATAAATGCAGTCTTAGTGAGCACAAGAGATTTCTTTCACAAAGAGAGTTCTTTCTCTTTACAACAGTACATTTTTCATAGTAAAGTCTATACACTCCACTATCAAACAGTCTATAATGCCTTTTTTCTTTGAATGCTCCTGCAACATTATATGCACATTTTTATTAGCCTGGATTCTATAAAGTATTCCTCCTTACCTGTAGCAAGTGTTCAAACTGGTAGATGCATAGACCCAGCTCAGCCATGCTGGGTTTAAACAACTCTCTAAGCCTGTACTCCTGCATTAGTCTGACAAACACACAGAAGGCCTCCTCCTCCGGCATCTACAAACACACAATGAATGATGAATTTGGAGTATGCAAAGTTTGGCTCACAGACATTTCTTTATCTTACTTTAGTTCATTATGATGAGCAAAACGCAGAAGCAAACCTGCATAAGTAGCAATCCTACGATGAATGCACTGCCCTGACAATAACCAACCTCACGATCCACAAGAGAATATGCCTGTGAGATCAAGAAACATCTATTAAAATTCTCTCTCTCTCTCTCTCTCTCTATATATATATACACATACACATCTATATATATATATACAGTATATACACACATACATACACATATACACACACACATCTATATATATATATATATATATATATATATATATATATATATATATATATATATAGAATATACACACACACATATCATATTTCATATATATTTCAACTACTAAATTTATTTTTAATTTTTTAAGTGGCATAGTCATTCATTCCCACAAGGAAATTGGCTTAAGAGAGAAATAATGTCCAAAATATGAACTCTAGGCTATTCATGTATAAATTAAGAAAGGTTTCTGTCAAAAGTAGGGGTAATATAAGGGGATGAATTGTCATATAAAGTATTATCTATATACAGTGGGGAAAAAAGTATTTAGTCAGCCACCAATTGTGCAAGTTCTCCCACTTAAAAAGATGAGAGAGGCCTGTAATTTTCATCATAGGTATACCTCAACTATGAGAGACAAAATGA